GAGTTATTTATTAATGTGTTCGTCTTCTGTTTATTCACAACATTCTACTTCAACAATAATATTAAACAACAATAACGACAATAAATTAGTAATATTTACATTAATAATACTAATTAGACATTATGACGATAATAAAGGTGATAATAACAACAACAACATTAATAGTAATATTTATTTTAACAAATAGTAATAATACTAGTATGGTAATAATAACGATATTTAAATATCAAATTTAATAAATAATTAGTGATAATAACGATATTGAAGGTGATAATAGCAATAATACAACAATAATAAATTAAAGATAATGTTTATTTTTATAATAATAGTAATACTAATTAGTAGTACTAATAATAATGATACTTATGATACTAGGCCTACTTAGTAATAATAGGGTAATAATATCGATAATAAAGGTGACAACAACAACAACAACAATAATATTAATAATAATAATAATATGAGAAAAATACTAATAAAACGCCAATAATAACAACTTTTTAAATTAATATTATTATTAATAAAATTATAATACTAAGACTAGTAAATAATAATAATAATATGAATAATAATAATAAAAAATCGAAAATTATTAATTATTTATATGGTACTGTAATAATAATATCAGCAAAAATTTTAAACAATATATAATGTTAATGCTAAGACTAATAATTAATATTAAAACTATGACAACAGTAATAACAGCAATAATAATAACAATTAGTACAATGTAGTACCAGTAAATGACTTGTGGCCGAGTTGACTTGTGGCCGAGTTGATTTGTGGCCGAGATGACTTGTGGCCGAGTCTTTTTGTGGCCGAGTTGACTTGTGGCCGAGTTAACTTGTGGCCGAGTTGACTTGTGGCCGAGTTAACTTGTGGCCGAGTTGACTGTGGCCGAGTTGACTTGTGGCCGAGTTGGATCGAATTCCCAGGCTACGTAGGTAGGGAGGATTGTACCCAGCAAGCAAGTGGTGTGGAGACAGGGCTTTTCCGTCTCCTCCCCACAAGCAAGCCTGCCCTCCGTCCTTGTTTGCTCCTCCCCCTATAAAGCGCAACTATTTAGGCAACTATTCATAGGATAGGCCTAAGGGGAGGGGGGACTAGGCTAGGCCATAACTGGCCGATGGGATAAGGTGAGACATGCAAAGGTAAAACAAAATCACAGACAACCTCTTCCAAACTTCTTACTTACCTTTCTGTATTGTTTTTGTTTTGAAACTTCATTCAACACTTCCCTCTATCGGTTGATTTGTAAATTGAGATTACCGTAAATGTTGCCCTTCCTTCACTTGGAGTAGATAATTGAGTGAATTTTATTTTATTGATAATATTTTTCTTTTTTCTCCAAAATATATTTATTTAATAATTTGTGTACATGTATAATTATATTTACAATTTGTATTTAATGCAATAATTGTATTTATTTATATTTACGTTATTGAAATAGCAGAGGGTGGATGACCTAAAGATGAAATAACTTCCATGCTGATAGGTGGCAGCCATTAGCATTTACCATCCGGTTGTATTGAATCCGAAGCTCATCGTCGTTGACTTTTGTAATATAACAATCATGATAACCGCAGTAACGGAAGTGTCATTTGGAATTTAGTTGTATTTAAAACGATGGAATCGAGAAGAACACTGCCTTGGTGAAGTTAGGTTTTTACAATTTAAATCAAGAAGGTATGTTGAAAGAACAAACAACACATAATTTGACATTCAGTTGGCCTTAGCCTAGCCTAGGCCCATGCATGCCATGAATCATCAATGTATGTAGGCCAACAGTATTGTCTGTCACACCTTCATTCGGTCCACCTTGAGACATTTCCAAAACCTTATAGACCTAGGCCTAGGCCTATTTAACTTACGAATTCCTATTTACGTAGTGTTGTATTGGCTCTAGGACTAGGACTATGCCTAGCATATTATAATAAAACAGCCATTTTGACAAATTTCTTATTAATTGTTCATAGGAAATTATGAGTTATTAATAATACATTTATTATTTGTTCATTATTATATTATACAGTATGCACCATAAACGAATGATTAGATATTTAATTATTGTCTGTTTACTTCTTTGCAGACAGTGTTGTTTTTCTTAAGAAACACAAATCTGTTGGCAGTATGGAGCCAAGAATGAGACCAGGTGAAAATAAGGATAAGCCAAGATCCAAAACGCCAGACCCAAATTGGGAAAGCTCTCGACAGAGAATATATTCAGAAGGTGTACGACATCCAGCTGATGATTCCCACAGAGCACCTTCAGTCCCCTCTGAGTTTGAACGAAATCCCAGATATCAGCCCCATCAAGGAGGGCCAAGTATTAGGGACGAAGGACCTTATGGAAGGCTTGGTGAAGGTGGTCGCCCAAGACCTTCATATGGCGATAATAATACCAGACGTGGTGACCAGTATAGATATGGACCAGCAAATGATTACAGAAGCCTTCCACCTAATGTTGAACCACCTTATCGACAACCAGATCCTGAAAAACGCAGAACGCTAGAGCATGGAGGACAGAGTGTTTATGATACTTTTGATGCTGTGAGGGGTAGGCCCCCACCTCCACAATACAAACCACCAGAGCAAAGAAGTGTGTTGTATGAATCAACCCGTGGAAAACCTGGTGTTTCACCGCAACCAAAAGAAAGTCCAGTTGATCCAAATATTAGGGGTAGAACTGATATGTATGCCGCTAGGCCAGCAAAAAATGATCTGCATAAGAGTAGGTCAGCTGAAGAAGTAAGAGCTCTTGGGTCTAATCGGTCATTTGATGGCCAGTCTAGACCAATGGACCCTGGAGTGGGTAGGCCTGATCCACATGGTCAGATAGAACAAACTTATGGTACCAGATCAATGGTACCTCCACAGAATACAATGACCAGCAGCAACTCTTGGAACTCTGATGACCCCAAGTCATCATTATATGAACAAGGAAGGCGGTCAGTTGACCCAAATGATCCCAGTGTTAGGCAGCAGTATCAGGGGGAAAATCAACCCCCTAAACCCAAACCTAGAATTGTTCCAAGTGAAGAGGAATTAGGAAAGTTAAATAAGGAGGAGTTAGTCCGGCAGTTACGGAAATTAGAAATTGATCGTGTGTCTTCTGCTTCGGATAATGGTGCTAAGATGAAGGAGATAAATAGACGTATGCAGAGTAATTTAACAGAAATCAGAGATTTGAGGGAGGCAAAAGAAAAATTGGATGCCGAAAATAAAGAATTAAGGGACTTGTGCTACTTTCTTGATGATGGTCGCCAGAAAGAGCGCAAGCTGGCACGTGAATGGCAGCGGTTTGGACGCTACACTGCAAATGTAATGCGGAATGAGGTTGCTGTTTACCAGAATAAATTACAAGAACTTGCGGACAGACAAGAAGAGCTTATAGTGGAAAATTTAGATTTGAAGGATGTCTGCATGATGTTGGATGAAGAGAAAACGGGAAGTCGAAGCTCAATCTGTAGCCAGTGTAACGGAGCTGTCAACTCGGCTCCACGCGACCAGGGAGATGGTAGCTATGATGAGTCAAGTCCTGTTGAAGGACCAAAAGTTAATCCGCTTTTGAGTCTCGATAACAGTATCAACAACAGTAGTAAGTTGCCTTTTTGTAATATTTTCCTTACAAACTCATGACATTCTCACAGACAACTATACAATGTTCTCAACACAAAGGTTTCATGGAATTCACTTTAGAACAAATTATCATCTAATTATATGGAATTCACTTTAGAACAAATTATCATCTAATTATATTTTTTCTAAACCCATACTACTGTATCATTTCTGCATTATTTTGCCTCTATTTTAATTAAGATGTATCATTGCACTTGTTGGCTTAGCCTTAAAGCTAAGATTACAAGATTATGCATTTTAATGGGCTTTAGTTGACATTTGGTCATCAGCAAACATGGCAATTAAAAATAAGAGTGTATGATAGCTAGAAGATGATGTCCTTCTAATTCCAGTCTCTCTCGGTGTCCTATGTTCAACCCAGAACACCAAGGGATTGATTTTCCTTTCAAAACACTTAGCTTCCTAAAAGACATGATATTTTACTGGATTGCTAGAGAATCACTTTCTCCATACTCAGCAGTGTAAATGGCAAATTCATTGCTCTAGTTAACAAAAAAAAGGAAAGGGGAAACAAATTTTTGAAAAAGGTGTTGTGTTGTTGAATTGTCAAGTTGAATGAGTTTGAATAGTGGTTATGGTCCATACACTTTTTTTTTTTTATAAGAACCAGTAAAATATTGCCCAGGCTCAGTGTTCTTATTTTTTGGCCAATTTCAGGCTCAAAATGTTCTTATTTTGTTCTTAGTTTACACGCCTTTTAAACAAAAAAATTATTTAATTGTACGGCAGTATGCACTGTACTGCAATGTAGTTGAAAGTGACCCCACAGAAAATGGCCCCCAAATGTCAGATAGGTACACCTACTGTACTGTATTATAGAGGGTATTACAGTCACACCTACTGCACATAATATACAGATATAATATTTTGGTTTTAAAAAATATAAACCTCATTTTAAATTTTACCTCAGCCTCAATTTGTTCTTAATTTTTAGGCAATTTCAGCCTCAGTGTTCTTATAAAATGTGTTCTTATAAGAAAATAAAAAAAAGTGTAATACAAGTACTCATTTGGTATTCCATGGCTCTCTTTTGTTTGCACATGTTTTGTTGTACAATTTATCCTGCAGAGTCACAGTGGGTCCTTTACTTCTCCATGCTATTGTCTATTCTAAATCTGACAAGTTAGTTGAATTGTTGAAATGTGTTGCCTTTGGATATAAAACTGCCGTTGGCCAAATGGTATATGAATTACCTGTTTGTCCAAGCACCGTGCCTGATTTCTATCTTTTCCAGACGAATAATGGATAGTGCTTTATAACTTTAAATATAGTAATAAGTAAGATTGAAATCACCAACAAGATTAAATTCTAATAAGACTTTGTTTTCATGAAATCAAATAGTTCAGTAAAAATGAGTATGGAATAACAAGGTGCCTGTTCAACCTTAAATAGTGAATAACAAACATTTTAATATCTAGGATAGATATTTATTTTATTATTGCATAAACATATGTATGCAATTATTTGTTCATGGCCTGCTTTAATGATTACATAGTTTTAAAAAAATTATACAAAAGTAAATTATAGAAATAATTAATATGAATTATAGCAGGCAGGTATAAAATAGAAAGATCTAGAAGGACATGCAAATCATCTGACCTAAACAGAAAAAAATTGGAACAAATTGTGAAATGTGTAATGTTGCAAGACGGAACATGTTAAGAAGACAGGCAGTAAAAGAGACTAGCATACAGTAGTGTTAAAAGCACAAATTTTTGTGACCTTTATTTTCCCCCCCAAGACATGGATTTTATTTGAAGTACATACTGTAGGCCTTTGGCCCAAATACAAAATAATCATATTCTTCTTTCAAATGCAAAGTGTATCAATTTTCTTAAATTATTCTACTATACTAATTTTAAATTAGAAAGTAATAAGCAAAACTTATCAATGGTTGGGTGTAAATAATAAAATTGTGTTTTATACAGTGAACTTTCCTAAGTTCAATAGCAATGGGTGGCCTATTCAAAAATAAATTTAATTTTCTAGTGGAGAAATCTAAATATTAGATCTGTTAATGAAAATCTTTCAAAAATAAAGCTTGCTATAAACAAAGTAAAAAAAACTCTTGCTTTTATAGTATCCATATCATATTAAAAACATATTTCATAATTTCATTCATACCAGTAGTCATGTGAATCAAGAGGTATGAATTTATGATAGTATTTATTGGTTAATGCCAGGCTCAATACTGTACAGTACGTCAATCATAATCAACAATTGAGGCACAGTAGAAACACTGGATCTGATTGCTGTGTTATTAATAGTTAATGCCATTTTGTTTACATTGGATTGTATCTCAACATGGCTGTGGGATATGAGTAATATTATAAACATGGCACATCTGCCTTCAGCATGCTGGTAAGATAAAGCATCCACTTTTAATGCATGTATACTTTCGAGCATATGTTGATTATAAATGGTTGTAGTATGCGCGCCTATCTGTGATGAAAAAACAAGGCCTCGGTCATCAGTGTGCATGTGAAAAGTGTGTCATTGGCATATAGTATGTTTGGATAAGAATAATTGTTTTGAATTTCCTCTTCATATTTCTATTTCTTGGAGATGCTAAATAAATAAATATTTGAATTGAATTGTAGTTTGATTTGGCACAGTATTTTACTATTGATGTGCTAGTAGGAGTGGTTTGGCGCAGTGGAGCTGAATACAGTAGCTTAGTGGTTAAGATGCTTGCCTTCTAATCCCAGGGTCTAGGGTTCAATTCCTGTCACAGCAAGACTTGTTCACATGACTAAAAACAACCCTCCCTAAACCTCATAAAGAGACTTCGCTGATAAAAGTATCACTTTATTTCATAAATTTAAACAGGCCCTTAAATATCAGCCGACCTTGTAGAAATACAGTACACTGGAAGGACCACCCTCTATAAATGTGGTTTAAAAAAAAAGCAGTTGTGGTTTTGCTTCTCATTCTTGAGGTCGGAGGTTCATCCCTTGCTGTGTATTTTGCTTGTGTTCTTTGGCAAGGCACTTTACCTACGGTTGTCTGTGCTGTGTTCAAACACATTATGGTATTCTCCCCAGGAACCTTAATATGTGTTCCATATGTTCTTGATCCGATGACTGGGGTAATACCGTAATGTTAAGCGCATCAGGTCTCTACAACACAGAATGCGCTATACTGTATAAGTCAATTGATTATTATTATTTATTAGTGCCAAGTTAAAAAAAAAGAATTAAATCCCTTTATTTTTTTTTCACAAAGATGACACATTGTATCTGGGCTTTAATCATGCACACTCAATGCTTTTGAAAGAGGTTGATTCCTGTAGGACTTTCCAGGTGTTTTGTGACATTAGGCATCAGACAAATACATACCGGCAGAAGTCTCAACTGACATACTTCCATGTATCATCTGCTCGGATTCCTTTGAGTTCTCAAGATTTTATTTTATTTACGTTGCTTTCATATGGAAAATACAATAAGTGATGCCATGCTTTAGTTTCACTACATGCAGACATTTAAGCTAAAGTCAACCAGGTTACTGTTAGGTGTGGATATGTTTCCATGGTGATTAAATGAGTCATTCTCATTTTGTTAGAATAGCACTTAGCAGCTTGCTGATGATCATGGTCTGACAGTGACATATATAATTCTGGATTGTACTAAAGTAGCTTACTTACTGTATCCATCTCTTGTTTTTTAAGAAAAAAATCAATCTGATAAACTCCAAAGTAAATTTTATTAAGTTGGTATGCAACTGTGTATTTTTTATTTTTTTATTTTTTTTTTTTATAGGTTGATTGGTCAAAGCTTTCATGGATTTTTGTTATTGATTCAAATAATTATTTTATATTTTCTCAAAAAGTAAAATTTTAAAAATACTTGTATCTGCCAACAATTGTGGCATTTTATTTATTTATTTATTTTTATTTATTTATTCAAGACTCAACAGTGTATCAAAACACCACAGAGTCGCAATAAAAATATACAATATCATTCATAACAATATATAAGATTTTTTAAAAACATAAAAAGCATTAAAAAAAATCGTACTGTAGTAATATATTAAAAACCGGTATTTAGTACAAGATTAAAAATAGAAATATTGCAATTAAAAATATCAATATCAGGAAACAATTTGAACTAGAAAATAAAAATTTGACACAAGGTTACAATCAAACTTACAGTATAAACATTTAAATAGAAAAATAAGATCGTTTCATTTTCATCTAGTCGATGGTAAAAATTGTTCGCAACTAAGCGAACCGGCAGCTGGGCCAATGAACTTCATGAATTTGTTATGAATCCGGTCTATTCTAATAGAATGAGTATGAGATATTGAGTTGTAGATAACTGAACAGAAATC